TTTGTAGTCATTACATGTGAACTACAATACCCATCTTTTGATATTCAATTTTTAACCATATCTTCTCCTCCCTCTTGCTTCTCTCACCCTTCCCTCTTCTATTGTCTTTCCAGCTACAATTGCAGCAGTTCTCTCAGTTACTTTTTGTCTCTCTTTATTCCTCCATCCATAGTCCTTCTTAGTCACCTTTATTTTTAGCAGATAGTTAGATTGCCAGATAATTTTTTTTGTTGTTTGTTCTCTTTCTACTTTCTTTCTCAGTACACTTTAGCTAGTCTTTTCTACCTGTCTCATTCTTATTTTCCTCATATTCCTCTATGATCCTTAGCCAACTCCCCTTCCAGCCTTATAACACCACACATCTTGTAGTGTTCATGAGCACTACCCTCCTATTTTCTTCCCATTAGCACCCTTATTAATTAAGGTTTTCCTAGTTCATGAAGTATTATCTTTGCTCCTTTATACTTTTAAAGATAGTGGGGCAGTGGGAGTGATTGTTCTTTATTAGCGATTGCTGTATTTTCAGTGAGTGTCTATTTACTATGATTGCTTCTGCACATAAACTTACTCAGTCTGAGAGGAGTCGGAGTCCAGGCACAGTGTCTTGAGTACTGTGGTCCAATGTTCAACTACTGAGCCACACCGCCTATTCAGTCGTGAGAAAACACACCCCAACCCAGGCACTACTCAGTCTTGCCTACACATTGTATATACTTCAATTGAAAGGGCATAGGAAATTAGAAATTCTAGTCAAAAACTTGGACTCAGATGCATAAATTCCAAGTAAAAGTAAAATAGCAAGGCAACATGTCTCCAAAAGGTCACAATTCCATAATAAAGGACTTGAATGATAGTAAGCAAATGAAATCTCAAACAATGAACACAAAAGAACAATGATAAGAAGGATCAATCAAAGAGGAAATGTACAAACATTTGAATGAATTCAAAGAAAAAACAAATAAACAGCTGAATGAACTCAAAGAGAATTAAATGAATAACTCAATGAAAGAAAGAAGAGAATGCATGATATGAACGAGGAATTCAATAAAGATATAGAAATCCTGAAAAAATTGAGTTAAAATCCTGGAAATGAAAAGCTCAGTAATCCAAATTAAAAACAGTTGAAAGCCTTGCTAATAGAATGGAACAAATTAGAAATAAAATATCAGAAGCTGAAGATAAAGTAGAGGAAATAGATCAATCAGACAAAGAGAAAGAAAAAATACTAGTTAAACATGAATAGAACATTCAAGACCTGTGGGACACCATAAAAGACCAAACTTATGAATAATGGGTATAGAAGAAGGAAAAGAGGCAAAAGATAAAGGCATTGGAAACAAATTCAATAAAATAATAGCATAAAAATTCCCAAATCTTGAGAAAGAGAGGGCCATCCAGGTACAGTAAGCTTCAGAATAACAAGCAGGAAAGATCAGAAGAGAAATATCCTAAGCAATAACTTAGTTAAAACTAAATCTACAGAACAAAGAAAGAGTACTGAAAGCTGCAAGAGAGAAGTAACACGTTACACATAAAGACAAACCCATTGGAATAACAACTGATTTCTCAACAGAAACTCTAAAAGCAATGGGGAATGGAATGATATATTCCAAGTCTTGAAAGAAAATAGCTGTTAATCTAGATTACCATATCCAGCAAAGTTACCCTTTGTAATTGAAGGAAGAATAAAACATTCCACAATAATAATAATAATAATAAAAACTAAAGGAATTTATGACCACTAAAAAACCAGTGCAGAAGATACCTTAAAAAAAATCATACAAGCAGAAGAGGATGATAAATGCAACAAGGAAAATATAAGAAAGAATAAATCCCACTAGGCAAGTAGATTAGCAAATGGGGAATAAGAAAGAAGCAAACATCACAAAAACACCAAAATAGCAATAATAACACTGAATGTTAATGGTCTCAATTCTTCAATCAAAAGACAAAGAATGGTAAGTTGGATTAAAAAAAGACCCAACCATTTGTTAAATGCAAGAAATTCATCTCACTGTCAAAGACAAATATTGGCTTAGGGTGAGAGGATGGAAAAAGATTTTCCAGCAAATGGGCCCCAAAAGCAGACAGTCTAGTTATACTCATATCTAACAAAACAGACTTCAAACAAAGATTAGAAGAGACAAAGAAAGTCACTTCATATTGAGAAATGGAACAATCCATCAAGAGGAGGTAACAATTGTTAACATATATGCATAAAAGTCAGCACACCCCATCTCATTAAACAAACACTATTGGACAAAGAAGCACAAATAAACTCCAACACAATGGTAATGGGAAATTTCAATACCCCACTTTCACCAGACAAAAACTCAACAAAGAAACAAACTTTAGAATTAAATGACACTATAGACCAAATGGATTTAACAAATATTTACAGAATGTTCATCTAGCATGTGCACAATTCTTCTCAGCGATCCATGGAACTTTCTCCAAAATAAATCATATTTCAGGGCACAAATCAAGTCGTAACAAATATATGAAAATTGAACTGACCTCCTCTATTCTATTAGACCACAATGAAATAAAACTAGAGATAAATCACTATAGAAACATGGAGACTGACCAATACACTACTGAATGATCAATGGGCCATCAAAGAAATAAGGTTTGAATTCAATAAATTCTTAGAATTTCATTTGTGAAAATGAAAACACAACTTACCAAAAACTTTGAGATACAGCAAAGGGAGTACTAAGAGGAAGGTTTATATTTGTGAGTGTCTACATTAAAAAAACAAAAAACAACAACAAAAAGATCTCAAATAAATAACCTAATTTTATACATTGAGCTCTTGGAAAAACAACAACAACAAAGATCTCAAATAAATAACCTAATTATATATGTTGAGTTCTTGGAAAAACAAAAACAATCAAACCCCCAAACAATGGGTAGAAAGAAATAATAAAGATTAGGTTAGAAGTTAATGACATAGAGACTAAAAAATTGCACAGAATCAATGAAGCAAAAAGTTAATTGTTTGGAAAGATAAGCAAGTTTGAAAAACAATTAGTCAAACTAACAAAAAGAAGAGACAAGACATAAATTACTGAAATTAGAGATTAAAAGGTGGATAGCATAACAAATGCCAATGAAATCTAGAGAATTACTAGGGAATAATTCAAAAATTTATCTTCTTTTTTTGGGGGAGGAGCAGTGTTAGGGTTAAATTCAGGGCCTTGTGATTGCTAGGCAGGTGCTTTACTATTTAGGTCAAACATCCAGACTTTTTTACTTTGGTTATTTTTGAGATAGGGTCTCACTATTATGCCTGGGCTGTCCTGGACCACAGTCCTCCTATTTATGTGTCTTGAGGATCTGGGATGACAGGCATGTCAGGAAAATGGTTCCATTCACTCGAAAAACCCAAAATACCTAGGAATAAACTTAACCAAGGAGGTTAAATACCTCTATAATGAAAATTATAAAAGCTTGAAGAAAGAAATTGAAGAAGACACTAGAAGATGGAAAGACCTCCCATGTTAATGGGTTGGCAGATTAATATTGTGAAAAAAACAAGCTACATTAGGATTCCCTTCAAAATCCCAACATCGTTCTTCATGGAAATAGAAAAATCAATCCTAAAATTCATATGCAAACATAAATGATTCCAAATAGCAAAAGCATTCCTTAGCAAAAGAGCCATATTGGAGGTATTACAATACTGGACTTCAGGCATAGTAAAAAACAAAGAAACAGACAAACAACCCCCACCCCCGACCATGGTACTGACACAAAAACAGATACAAAGGTCAATGGAGCAGAATAGAAAGCCTGGTGAATGGTAAAAGAAAATGTGGCATATACGCACAATGGAGGAGCATTCAGCCGTAAAAAGAATGAGATTACATTGTTTGCAGGAAAATCAGTGGAATGGAGATCATAATATTGAGCAAGATAAGCTAAGCTCAAAAAACCAAATATCCCATATGCTGAATCTGGACAAACAATGATGAGGATGATGATGATAGGCATGAGTGCAAAAGGTAGACTGTCTAGGGGGACAACAACAGGAGGGAATAGGAGTGTGGATGGGGAGTGACCAGGATATAAGTACATTATATATATATGAAAATAGCATAACAAAACCCACCAAATACTGATTGAAAAAGTGGGGAGGAAGGTAGAAGTTAAGGGAATATGAAGAAAGGGTGAATTGTTTCAAAGTACATTGTAGACATGTGTGGAAAAGTCACAGTGAAACCCCCTTGTTCAATTAATGAATGCCAGTGAAAAAGCACAAACAAAATTAAAAGATGGAGGAAAACGTGTACGACAAATGACACAAAATGTATCCAAATATATTGGATATTTGAGAGTCAATGAAGCAACAGATAACTGTCCTAATAGAATAGAATAAAAGAAATAAAGAGAAATTTCAAAAAGAAGGAGACTAGTCAGAACACACAAATTTTTCAATCTCACTAGGACCTAAGGTTGAAATTTATAAAATAAAACAGTAAGAAGTCAATTTGTACACTGAAACTGCATTTTAAAAACTCTTTTTGAGTTAAATATCTTTTCTCCAGTGTTTGACAAATTGTTAAGACTCAGACTCTGCTAGTAAACTGAATAGAATCTACACATCATCAAGGATAGGCTTTTCTGTATCAGTTTGAACTTTGTTTCCAATTCTGAGAATTAACAGTTAAAACAATAATTATAAAGTACATTATATTTTTGCACAAAATGATGCTCATGTATGATGATAACAAGTGCAGTAATGTAAATGCCACAGAAGGGAGAGCCAGTTGCCTAACCTAAATACATCCACAGAAAAACATCTTGTAAGATACATTCCACAGGCTAACTCTGGACATCAGCCTGCTTTTCTTTTTTTCTTGTTTGTTATTATTTCCTTAATTTTAAAATTTCCTTTAACTTTTTAATGAACGTTTAAACTACTTTTCTTCCATTAAAATAGTTACACATATTTCAAGTATCAATTTAGAGCTCATGAGCTGTATAGATACACTTACTCTCCCAGGAAAACAATCTCAGTGTTGATTTCCCCTGGCTTGTTGCGGAGAAAATTCCTCAGGAAGGCAGTCACACTGTCAACAGTGATGTTTCCACAGACCACGATGAACCTAGGCAGCAAGAGCATGGAGGCAGATCATTTGAGGAATAGAAGTGCAGTTAGCTGTCCCATGGTACCCATAGGGAAGGGTTCTACTTACTCCAAGGTACCAAAATCTGTGCATGATCAAAGTTTCTCACATAAGATGTTGTAGTAACTGCATGTAATCACACATATCCTCTTGGATACTTTACACCATTTCCAGATTACTTATATAATAAAATGCAACTGCTATGTAGTTAGGTGTTGTACTATATTGTTTAGGGAACAGTGACAAGGAAAACAGATTTTACAATCATTCATTTCAGATATAATTGTTTTAAAATATTTTCTATCTCTGGTTGAATGAACCCATGGATGTAGAATCCAGGAATGTAAAGAGGACTGACTGGATCTTCTTGTCAGGATTTAGAGATAAACAATAAACTTAAACATGACTTAAAATAAATTTGATGTTTGAATTACCCAGATTTTAACAATAGAAGCTAAGGACTGCATCTCCAATGTGCAAAGGAAGAATTTGATTTTGCAGAGTTCTACCTCATTTCAAGAAGTGCATGTCTCCACACAGTGGCATTGCATATAGCTTTTCAGGAATATAATCATTACTGCTACATTTGTTATAGTTATGTCACTTACAATGGGCTTACTATAGCATGAGTGTTCCTCATGAGAAACTCTGCTATTCACAATTAAATATCATTATTCTTTGGAGAATCTCTCAATCTCTCTCTCTCTCTCTCAATATTTAGGCTGACATAATTGATTTAATGTGCTTATGAGCATCTGCATTTTAGTTTGTATAAAGTAGCAAACATTCCGTTTGTATAGTATTTATTCTAGAACTGCCCTTTGTAGTAAATGAAGGGTCTTGATAATATCTCCACCCCTAGTTCTGTAACTAGACAGGCAAGAAGCATCTAGAATGGGATATGTGACAAACAGAACATCTTAAGTTGTAGAAATTATACTCAAAAAGCTGCTTACTTCTTTCCTTTGACCACTTGATAGGACGTGGTGTATTTCCTCTTGTTAGCAAAAAGTTCTACCATTTCAGGGACATAGTTGGCAAACAGTACCTAAAATGAGCAGCAAATGAGAACTTAGGCCTCATTATTTTGACAGATATTCCAAAGTTCCAACACTATGAAGAAGAAATATGACACATATAACTTTCTCTTATCTAGCATGGGTTATGATGGAGAACTGCATTTTAAAAGAGAGACTGAATTTCTTCCTTACTTTGGCCTTTGGATCTGGCTGAAATTTAATAAAATGCTTTTCCACATTCAAAATGATAAAAGTAAGCACAGACAAATAAGAAGGCAACTTCTCTATCCATTTGTCTCTTCATGACTTATAACTTCCTTCTTATCCTGATTTTATACTATTCAAGACTTGAAAAAATTCAAGCATATGGGGCTGAGGGTGTTTAAGAGATAATGATTACAATGTCAGAATGTAATACTGTGGGAAGGGGAATATAGAAAGGTATAGTGGAGATCTCTATTATGGTCTCCAAAGAAAGAAATAAAAATCCCTAAAAGAAAAGGAGGCTTCCTTTGCTCTTGATACCATCTTGAATGAGGCATAGAAAGATCCCCTATTTGGAATTAAATAGTGAGACTGGTAAGAGGTTCCTCATTTGGACTGGATGGAACAGAACATTCTTCAGATCAAATCTCAAATGTCCTTCCTCTTTAGAAGAAAGGCTATAATTTGATGGGCAAAGATGAAGGCAGATTTTGCTCAAATCAATGTATAGGCTAATAAGCAAAGTCTGCACTCTTTGTCTAACATTCTTCCTCCTGGGAAATTAAGCAATTGAATGATTGGTTCTTGGGGACACCATCACCATAAGAAGGGGAATAAAGTAGAAAGGAGAAAAATGGAGAGGACGAACCAATTCAGGATATAATACATATATACATGGAAATGCCATAATGAAATGCCCTGTATAGTTATCTTAAACAAACAAAAATGTCTTTTTTAAAAAATGGAAGACAGGAAGATAAAGCAAGTCCTATCTGGGGCTTGACACTAGTGGGAGGGGAAGGATACAAGGAAAAGGTGTAGGAGGTGAATATGGTAGAAACTTTATGTACTCATATATGAAAATGGAAAAATGAGACCTGTTAAAACTATTCTAAGAAGTGGGGTATAAGTAGAATGATGGAGGGGGTGAATGTAACTAAGACCTTTTGTAAATGTCACAATGTACCCCCAGTACAGTAATAATATGATAATAAAAATAAAGAAAATATGGGATCTATGCATCTTTTCATTTTCGTATGACACCTACACTGAATGAGGCAAACCTAGGTTGCTTTACTTTTCCTCATTAACTAAATGCTTTTTGGTTTAGATAGCTATATTCAAAAGACAGTAAAAGTGCTCTTTACCAGACTCCCTAGGGTGAAGAATATGATGAAGGTCCTTCCTAGGTTTGTCTTGGCCACCACATCTCCAAAGCCAACTGTTGACGTTGTTGCCATGACCAGGTAGATGGACTCAAAATATGATATATTCTGCGAATTTCTACCTTTGAGCCAAGGATCACCAGAATTTTCTACCTGTTCAAAGAGAGAAGACTCAGGTCTTTGAATGAAATGAAGGGAAGGTTTAGAAAGAATAGGCAAGACATCGGATTCATTTTACTTAGTTCAATCCACATGAAAATTCAAATGATTCTCTGCTGTTTTGAAGGTGTTGCAAATTGTGGGTAGTGTTTGTCAAGCCTGGTTTCCTTAATTGTGATTATTGCTGAAATCTGAAGAGGCACATGATTTGTGCCCAGCATTTGGAATACTCCACAGTGCATGACTGCCCTGTCTCTCTTTTCATAAGGTGCACCATCACATCTTGGAACAGGACTCCAGCAATTGCCCTTCATTCTCATTTTCTCACCAGATAAGGCACATCATTAAGGAAATGAGCTGAGCACTTCATTTCAGTGACCTGAAGCACATGAATACTAGTGTCTAGGGAAAAACAAACAAACTTTCCAAGTGTTCTCCCTCTCTAAGCAAAAATCTTTCCAGTGTTTAAAAGAAACTCTGAAAAATATTTCCCTGATTTCCCCCAAGTCTTCATATTTTAAGCAAACTATATATTATCTCTTTTATATTAAATGAATGGAGCGACAGGAATTTATATTTTATCCATATTTGTTATAAATATATAAAATGCTATATAACATATAGTAATTATTTGTAATATATAATTATATTATATATAATATATAATTATTTATATATATTACATATGCCATGTATTATTTATAGTGTATTCATGCTTACATATAATTTATACATATTTATACATAATTTCCCTCTTTTAGATTTTTTTCTCCCCTTTTTATACTTAAAAATGTTTTCCATTTTCACTGAGTAACAAAGATGATACAGTGTTGGAGATGTGTGGACAAAGTTGTGTTTTGTTTTTCCTTAAGTATTGGAATAGGATTAGAAATCATATAATTTTCTCAGTCTTTGATCACCTTTTAAAAGTGATGTGTCAAATGTTGACTTTTTCCTGTTTCCCAAAAAAAGGAAAGAGGTGTGTGTCTATACTCAATCCCCGTGGCTAATAATGAATATTTTTTACTAATCTACTAGAGTTTTTCCTATTTTTAAGACTCATGTACGTCATAAGAAAGCTAAGTTTAAATCAAACAGAGTCAAATCTCTCATTTATTTTGATATAGTGGCCTTGAAGCTAAAACCCTACATCTTAGCACAGGGATTTAATATTATCCTTGAATAACCTCTTGTGCAGATTGAAACTAAGTTGATTTCCACCTGGAAATCTCCTCACACAATTTAAATAACCCTGTAAAGTTTAACTCACGGTCTTTTCCCTACCCAGGTGTTCCATCTGTTCACTCTGCTCTTCCTCTCCCCACATTTGCATCAACCCGTCAGTCCAAGATGGAAAATAAGTTGAAGTTAAGCTAAAGGTTAAAGATAAATTATCTCCTATAACTTCATCATCTATTTTAACTTTATATTTCCAAACAATTCGGTATTTTTAAACTTTACACATTAACTTTAGAGAAGTTGTACTGGGAAGGAGGATGACACAAAGACATGTCTCACATTCCCACTAACATGTATATTAGTTTTTGTGATACTTGATTGTCAACTTGGTTTGATTGAGAAGCACCTAGGAGATAAGGAAGACATACGTTTAGGTGTGTCTGTGAGGGCATTTCCAGAGAGGGTTAACTTTGGGGTGGGGTGGGGTGGAAGGGGAAGAAGACCTGCCCTGATTATGCACACCACCATTCCATAGGCTGGTGGCCCTCAATGGATTAAATGGGGCAAAAGGAGAGAGCCTTTGAGACAGACATTCTCCCTTCCTGCTACCTGGCCACCATGCTATAAGTTTCTCTGTGCTTCAATGCCTCCTTACCACAACGGATAGTAACCTCTGCAATTGTGAGCCAAAATAAATTCTTCCTTCCTGAAGTATTTTCATCATGGATTTTGTGGTAGTGACAAAAGTCTGAAAGTCTGACTAACATAGTTATGTTATGTTTACATGCTTCATGCACATTCCAGAGTGTAAGCATAATTTCCCTGGCTATGTCATCTGTTTATAAATTCATTCAGTAATCATTATTTTTTAGCATGCCTTCTCTATTCTTGAGTTCTTACTTTTATTTCCTCTCCATTGTGGTTGGATTATATTAAGATGCATATCTAAAAGGGGTAAATTGGAATGCTTAAAATGGCAGAAGAGGTTACATTTCCTTTCACACAAACTTTATAGATATTTCTCTATCATCTTCTGGTATTGATTGATTGATATTACCAAGCAATTCAATGCTAGTTTCTCACTCCCTGGCTCCATCTCCATCTATGGGTCTTGCTTTGTTCTGCCTGAATTCTCTTCCTTATCTTTGAAGATCAGTAACTGCTCTAAACATTGTTGAAATTAATAGTTTGGGGCCGTTTTTTGTGGAATATAGTGCAGATGCAAGGCCTTATTCAAATTTTCTGGTGCCATTTGTTGTGTCCTTTTCTTTGTGAGCACTTTATTACATTTGTAATATATATTGAATCAATATTGCCCATCTTTCATGTTTCTTCTCCATTGTGATCTGAATGTCTTTGTCTTTTCCATGTCAGTACTTTTGCCTCAATCTTGCCCTCCATGTTCCTGAACAGTTCTGTCAGATTTATTATGTTTGGTTCTCTCTAATATAGCCTCAGCTCCATAAGACCTTTTCCTCTGTATCTTGTAGACCATTTTACAACTGTTCCTACTGCTTAATGAATCTTTATATGCAGGATCATTTTAGGTTGTTTTAAAGACTTACTTGTACTTTTTTCAAGTATTTTTCTTAACTTTTTCCATTGTCCCGTGGGTAAATTATCTGTACTTGTTGGTTTACAGTTATTGTATTATGTGATTACTATTAAACCATCTCTCTCCAGCCTCCACTATATCGCTTTGTTACTTTTAAGCCTCAGCACCATACTGATTCCTTTCTACTTGGTACTTATATTTCAGTGGTATCAATGTTTAGCTGAAGGATAGTGTGAATATGGGAAGGTAAGGTGCTGGGACAATCATAGCTTTTATTTTGGTTTGTCATTTCAAATATCCTCTCAACAAAATCTACTAATTTAATTGCTTTGGGATATAACTCTTCTTTTTTTTACCTTCTGGAAATTAATGTAGCTCAAAGTATGGCTCTTTGATTTGTAAGCTACTTTCTCTGCACACATCCTTCTCACCCCGGAGACTGCACATCCACCATGCTCCCATGCTTAGAGGGGCTGAGTAAGAGACTTCAATGATGTAAATGGGCCCCAGAGAGCAGACCCAACCCAACAGCATATGCTATACTCAAGGAACTGTACTCAGGTGCCTTGGAAGAGAGGAGTTGCCAACCTTTTGTACTTTCCCAAAGAGTCCAGAAATCCAGGTTTTTATGTCCACTCCCCATAAAAGTTAGCAACTAGATTGGTGCTATGGTTAGAATGTTTGTGTTCCCTCAAAATTCATATGTTGAGCTGGGCACCAGTGACTCACACCTGTAATGCTAGCTACTCAAGCAGCAGAGATCAGGAAGATTGCAGTTCGAAGCCAGCCCAGGCAAACAGTTCATGAGCCCCAGTTCCAAAAAAAAAGTCACAAAAAAGGGCTGATGAAGTAGCTCAAGATGTAGGTCCTCAGTTTAAACCCCAGTACCACAAAAACAAGGTAGCAACTATTAAATAATAGAAATCAAAAAAATAATAATTAGATCAAATAAACATAGGTCATATTGAGCCAGAGAGCCTGCCTTTGGAAGTGCTACTAGAGACCAAAGAAGACCTTAGCATAGGGATTTGAAAGTTGCTTATCTTCCAGGAGGCTCCTGGCTCCAAGTCAAATCTTGGAAATAGAAGGACCTGCCTTACTGCTGTGACAACCCTTCAGGGAAATTTTTCTCCTGCTTGGGCACTGAAGAGGGGTATGGCTGCTTTCATATTTATCTAAGGTTCTATCACAGTTTCCATTTAGGATTTGAGCTTTATCAAGTTTTAAATCTTGTTTCATTTTTCATTGTTATTGTTTTAATTAATTTTGAGATAGACTCAAGTCTAGAGAACTTCTGCTAGTTTTCCTATTTTGTTTAATTTTCCTGCAATTTTTTTTAATGACTTATCCTCAAGCATGCCAGGACTCTTTCCCATTGCTGAAATCCATTTCCTATGCTGTTCATTACATGGGAGAGGAGCTAGCCTTTCTAATAGGCAAAGGAGGCAGTGAGGTATACAGATGGATTTCAGGAGAGTCACGAAGGCCCCAAAGCTTCCCTTGCAACAATGATTCCTCCCCAACAACTTTCCAGTTTTCATAAGCCTGAGATTCTCTAATTGGCTTCTTCTTTTCTTTGTTTTTTGTCCTTTAGTGCTGAGAATAAAACCCTGGGCTTTACACAAGCAGTCTTTCTACCACTGATCGACACAACAGTCTTGGCTTCATTTCTTTGACTTTTACTTATTTTTTTTAAATTTAAGAATCCCCAACCTCTATGAAGATTTGGCAATAAATCATACCTATTCCTTATATCTTTACACTTGGTATTTCCCTAGGAGCAGATTTTGAAATTGTGAAGAGGGAACAAAAATATCTTGGTTGTAGGAGTTATATACTTGTGACAAATATGAGGGTGGGAAAAAAAAACCTAAAAAGGGGGAGTAAAAAGATAACTTCTCCTCACTGTGTGTCCCTCTCTAGTTTTCCAAGGATGGATGCTCATGATGACAGATACTGTCGTCACTGTGACCAAATACCTTAGAGAACACTTAAAGAAGAAAGGATTTATTTTGTTCACGGTTTCAGAGGGTTTAGTGTATGATTGCTTGGCCCCATACAGAACATCACAGTGGCATGTGTGTGTGGAGGAGTTGTTGCTTCACTTCATGGCACAAAGGAAGCAGAAAGAGAGAAAGGAAGGGACCAAGACCAGGCATAACCTTCAAAGTCATGCCCCGGGACCTACTTCCTCCAGTGCGGCCTCAGCTCCTAAAGTTTCCACAACCTCCTAAAACAGTGCCACCGTCTGGGACATAGCATTCAGCACATGAGCCTGTGGGGGATGTTCCTTATTCATACAGTAACGTGTGCCATGAGGGATCATGATGAGATGCTTACCAAGTGAATGAATCCTGCAGCCGTGAACCAGGTACTGAGAACTATTGCTAACAGCTTGGAAAACTTCACTGAATTACTAGAGGAAGAAAGACATGGTTGAACCGTTGAGTCTCCTCGAACATGTTCCAAAACAACACAAATACCTCTGAGAGCTTGCTTTAGACTCATATAGTGTAGTTTGTAGGCTGGAAGTAACAGCATGCCCTGGTTGCCTATGAGAAATGCAGGCTCCTAGACTCTGTCCTTGTCAACCATCTGCAATGTTATGGAGCCATTGCTCGATTCAGATACACATTAGAGTCTGAAAAACATAGCTCTAAAATTCACCCGGTCTCACACACTTCTTCAAAAATTGTGGATCTTTCTGTCACGCACTAGTGTGTTATTATATAGCTTTTGAAAACATAAAACATGTTGCTCAAAATAGGATAAGTTTCATATATTGTTACTTTGTCTAAAGTAATAGTATAAAATGCCAGGAGTCCAAGGTGTGGGCTTGCAAAGTACGATTTTGAGTAGATCACAGAAACATAGAGTCTCAGATTGGTGAACTCATGTGAAGATGTTTGAGGGAAAAGGATCACAGACTCTTAGGTCTCCTAAGGAAAGTCTCCTAGAGTTTACTTAAAATCCATGGTTTTTCAGGCAAGGCCACTTGTCATACAAGAACTGCTTTTCTTACCCCAACTTCTCCATAATGCACATGTGTGCGCACACACACACACACACATACACACACATCAGTGAGATCCACCTGTCAATATTTCAGATTTCTAATGGGAATGTAGAGGTGTGTAGATTTTGGGAGGGTAGCAGACCACACTGCTTGTACCTTTAGAAGTATTGCTATTCAAAAATAGATTGGATTTTTGATTTTTGGAAATATTTAGGTGGCTATTTTTTTTTCAGGGTTGGGGGTGGAACCCAGGACCTACTAGTGCAAGGTAGGTGCTCTATCACTGACCTAACGTCCTAGCCCATGGCTCATTTCTGTCAGCAATATTCCATTGCTGTTAGTAGACAGCCCTCATGCTCAGGAACAGTCATATCCTTAAACCTGAAGGAATATTTCTTATTTTAACTAGAATAAAATGTGGAGAACCAAAGCCTCCGAACTGGCTATCTTTTTGTGTGTGTGTGTGGACAGAATTAAAACTTAGATGGATCTATAAACAGTAGCTTTGCAAAACAAAGTCCAAGCAATCTCTTTAAAATGATTGTAAAGTTTTCAGCCAGCGAGTGATATAATACAGTGGGAGAAAGTGAATGAAGAATTTCATAGTTGTTGAGAGACTGTGTAAATTTTGCACTGAAATTCTGGTGAGACATGAGTGGAGCTTGAAGGCCAGTTAATATTTCATTTCTTAATTCAAACTACTAAACAAGTGGGCTGGCATTTACTGACCTGGTCTTGATGACCTGTAGAATTTGCAATATTTTAGGGAGTTCTAGCAGTCGTAAAGCTCTTAGGAACCTTAACCCTACAAAACAATCAAAAGGAGAAAGATGTCAAAAGAAGTGTGTCACTCGAGGGAGTAGCTGGAATAATTACACAACAGGTTACAGGTTTAAAGGGACTGAGCTACAGTTCAGATCTTGTCTCCAACACTTGCTAGACGTTGTTACCTAAGGCAATCTGAGAAATGGGAAGCACAACCATATCCACCTGTGATAGACAATTAATTCAAAGCATGTAGAAGCAGCCTCACCTATCATAAGCAGTATTCATTTTACTGTAACTCTTCTCTAGAATTGAAAGCAAACCACTTAACTCCTTAATCTCTGTAATTTAAATGTAACCCGTAACTTACAAAGTAAACTCCATACAGTCTCTGTGATATGCTCCTCAATGTTGTAAGGATGTTCTACTTTATGTAGTTTGCTAAAAATGATAGCAAGGAATAGAGCTGGTATGTATTTTACAGACAATAAATGGACGATTGCATAAAAACTAATCAGAGCCACACAATGACCACAAGTTGTCAACATACACACCATAAAGACAAAAAACAAAATTAAATGATTCCCAAATATGGCACAGCTTGTCTGGATATGATGATCAGCTTTTAAAAATCAAGAGAAGTTTCACAACCCAGTCCTTGTCCTAGCACAGTAGAAATGGGATGCTAGAGCCTCACCTCCTAGGTGGTGGACATAGCCACTCCAACAACAGCTAGCGAGGTGCCTTGCTGCATGATGCAGGTGGGAAATGATTTCTGCAAATATAGTATAAACCCATATAATCTAATGGAGAGTTTTCTTAAATGAAGGTGAACTTTTTTTTTTAACACATTGCTACTGACTCCCACAATACACTTACCTAGCCAATTACTCTTCAAGTAATAAGAAATGAAGGTTGGTGGGATGGTAAAAATGTCTACAATTGAATTCATCTCTAACCAGAACTTGAGCTTGTCACCAGCTGCCAAAAACTATGAAATGGAAACATATCACCCCAAATTCTGTTATTTCAGGCATTTTAAAGTAGACATGAAAGATGGTATTATTTAGCTACCTCTTATTCATCAACTAAAGCTTTCATCTCATTTGACACATAAACAAACACATATATTTATGCAAATACATCAGTGCATATATATTATACAGATACAGAGATTATACCTTTAATGGGTGTTCAATAAATGAACATACAATCATTTTACTTAGTAGATCTTTGTTCTCACACGTCAAAATAAACCTTTTGACCTTTCTGCTACCCTTAGAGCACACACACACGTAACTATGTATGTGTAATCATATATGTGTATATATAATGTACATAATTATATACCTAAACCCCACTATTGGTGATCAGTGAAGATACTGTATTTAGGATGATCTCCAGTGAAAAAGGTACAACTCTCTAAAAGCTTGACTGGTCATGGCCTGTGTTTCTTTATTCAGATTAAAAATTTCCAGAACAGAAAGTCAGGTGACATTAAAGGAAGATTTGATGGTCAGTGTGATCAGGGTAAGTATTTTTTTTTTCTGTGTCTGAGTCACTTTATTTTATTTTTAATTTTTTTTGTTCATTTATTCACATGTGCATACATTGTTACATTGTTTGGGTCATTTCTCCATCCTGCTCCCCTCCCCCACCCCTCCCCCTCAGTTCCAGGCAGGTCCTATTCTGCCCTTATCACTAATTTTGTTGAAGAAAAGACATCAGCATAATAAGGAAGACAAAACATTTTTGCTAGTTGAGTAAAGGATAGCTATACCGAGAGATTCTTATTTTTGTTTTCGTGTACCCATGTGTTACGACCCATGTTGATTCAACTCTAACTCAATGATTTTTACATTGGTTCCTCATCCCCTGCTCATGATAACCTCTGTCATTTTAAGGTTTCTGTATTAGTTCTGAAAGAAAGTGTTTGCTTTCTTTCTTTTCTTTTTTTTTTTTTTTGTTGGTACTGGGATTTGAACTCAGGGCCTCATACTTGCTAGACAGGTACTCTACAGCTTAAGCTATGTCCCCAGCCCCAAGTTAAGTTTTAAAAGAATGTCATAGAAGTACGTATTACACATACATATATATAAAATATATATGTATGTACATATGAAATATACACATATACACACATGATATATGCATGTATACATGACATGCCCATCATATGAAATATTTTGTTTTTATGTGTCATATACACATGCATATGTGTTATATGTATGTGTATATACATATATATATGTATACAGTCTCTCACAAGCATAGAGTAGATAAATATGTCAAAATCTATATCTAGGATGAGTACTTAATAAATGCCCATGGAATAAAAGAACTAATTAATACATGAGTGTGAACAAAAATAAGATACAAAAGTATTTTAAATAGTTACATGGCTCATATGCCACTAGTAGAACCAATGATGTCTCCATAGCCTGTGGCTATGACTAAGTTTTCTCAGTAGTAGGTGGGAAGCCAATAAAGAGGACATTGTGATAGGGTGATGGTATTTGATAAAGGTATGATTTTCATTTGTGTTGGAATTTTGAACCAGGTTTATACTTTTAAGTGAAGGAAATAGAAGTTTTAGGTTGCATTATATACTTAACAACTTAGGGGACAGACCCTATGTTCAGAACCTGAAAACCCTGGCAGATTGTGCAACTGAGGCACACACAGATCTCTTTATATTGCTCCTGTTGTGTTTGTGTGTTTGTTTCCATTTCCCATAGGTACTTACTCTCAGCCCAAAATAGAAACTAAAGAACGCATTGAAAAACAAATCAATAGGGATGGTTATGTCTTCATATGAAGAACAGCTTCCAACAGGGCTGGAAAAGAAATGACAGTTTGCAAAGATGAACATTTAAAAAGGTATGTCTATAAAGGGTGAATAAAGTGAGGGGTAGGCAATTTTCTATGTAGTCACCATAAAAGGTCAGTTCAGACACTTAAATTCAGATCTGAAGGAAATTACCTTTCCTTGGGAGTAGAGCTATTCATAAACAGAACAACTAGACTGCCCATGGAGCTGGAAATAACAGGAAAATTACCCACCATTTCTTTCATAGGATTTATGGTTCCATTTCGATTCTTATCAATGGGGATTCTGAGCCATAGAAATTTTGTGGCTTTTCTTAGTTTGCAAGACCATCTGTCCAATTTTTTAGCTTCTGTATCCTTTTGATACAGAGCTTCTCAAGGTCAAATGGACTGATTTAAACCAAATTCAAAGAAAAATTTCTACACGATGTGTTAGGAATTTAAAAAACAAAAACAGCCAGTTTCTTTAGGTTCTCTAAAGTGGCCTGTTTTTTTTCTAGCTCTGAAAATTATAATTTTCATAATTATACTGGAAATATAATTCCCAGAGCATTAGCATGGAGTTCAAATTAGATTGGCTTTAGTAAAAAACAAAAACAAACAAAAACCTGTCCTAACCTTGTGATAGAAGACGGGAATACTTTCAGGGAAGACTACTCTTTATCTGAAGTGAGGTTCTAGAGCTTTCCTTTCTCAAAACCATCCAAAGTTCTCTAAAACCTATGAGAAACTCCAAAACTTATACAAGATTTCTGCTTCAAAGCCTTCTTAAGTGGCTAAGTGAGGAGACAACAGCTGGAAGTTGTAAATATTAATAATCATTCCTGAGGAGAAAATTGCACAGTAGTTAGGTAGGTGTCTGGAGTAACAGATATCAATGACTGGGGACTTTACTCACTCAGTAGAGTTGACGAAATAGATGAGAAGGGATCCGATGCTTAGAACAAAGACAAGGATCACCTAAAACCAAACCAAAACAAAACAGGGACAGTTGTGCAAATCCTCTTTATTGACAAGGAATAAATAAGCTGACATGCTTGTGTTTTCTCTTTTTAAATGAATTGGAGTAAGTTTTATTGTGTGTATTTATTACCATGGGCAAGGAGAGGAGGATGAGAAAAAAAATTTTAAAATCTCTTTTTACCTTGCTTATATAAATGTAGGCATTATTCATTCATCATTCATTCATCTATTTTTCCAATAGATTTGGCATTTCACTAAATCAACAAATACCCATTTTACGTACCCAATTTTAACTCTCATACACATCAGAATAAAGTTTCCTTTCCTGTCACTCCTAGACTTTATCAAACACTTATTAAATGCTTAACTTGTGTTAGGCACTTCATTACATTCTAGAAAATGAGGGCTACTGAACAAAGACCCTGGACTTGAAACAGTCCTAAACATATCTACCCTAAGGATAGTGTGAACTTTGACAGGAGGAAAAGCACTGCATCCGAGAAGAAAATGTGTGTTTGTGATGTGTCAAAGTATCTAATCTACAAAACAACCCCAGCCTGTGGAAGGTAGTCTGAAAACTGCCCATTTGAAGCCTTTTTCACATTTGGATGAATCTTTGGCAGCCTCTGTGAATTTTTCAGGTCAGTTTTAGGTAATTAAGCATTGCTTCAGTTATTTCCAGTTGCCAAACCATCCAGCTTGGCTTGTCAGAAGGTTTAGTCCAGTGTAGTTCCAATATCAAACTCTGAATTTTATTACAATATAAACTCTGCTGCGTTCCAGCTCAGATGCTCCTTGGGTAGGCCGCTCATATAGGGAAAGGGTTGGTTTCTTCTCTTTTAGAACTTTTTGGATTTTTAATCCTACTTTCCTACTGGCTAAGTTGCTTCTGACCTCTCTAGAATTTGTGGGTCACTGTGGGGGAGTGAAGAAAGGGGAGGCGGGAGAAGTCTCATTTGACTGGTGTTTCTGGGCATGGAAGGTGTAAAGTCCTTTCATAAATGGTTTCATTGCTCTTTGTAGATCTCAATTCCAACTCAAATTAATGAATATGTCTTTAACTCCCTTGTGACCCAGGTGTTATTCAGCTTCTCAGTGAACAACATTCACAAAGATCCCTGTCCTCATGGAGCTCACATTCTACACAATAAATAAAGGTAATTAATATGATAGATATGGTATGTAAGACAACAAATGCTAAGGAAATAAATCAGAACAAAGTAAAGGGAATCAGAAATACAATGAGAAGCATCAGGGCAGTTAGAGTTTTGGTAATATTTAATGGCTAAGTGTCCTATTTGTTTATTGTAACTTTCTTCTCTTGCTAAATCTATTCAGAGATTCAAGTATAAATGGTATACTGACAGACTTTTAGACAGATGGTGGCTTAGCATCAAGGCACAAAATACAGACATGAGAAAAAAATAGAAGAATAAAAATTTAGCTTTCTTGAAACTAAGAACAAGAACAATCCCAGTGTCATACCGCAAACACAATGAAATGATCAAGGAATAATACATAATGGCACAATGAATATCAATTCAAAATGAAGGCAGTGAGAGGACCTCTAAGCTTCTCTTGGACTTGAGGAGCAAAATTTTGAAGAACTGGCTGTTCAGGGAGGAGCAGAAAGTCCTGCCCTGAGGTGTGCAGGCCATGGATTGAAGAGAGGGACTTGGAGTCATAGGCAGCCTAGAGCAGAATCACTGAGGCCCACTGGTCTCTGAGGAGGAAGCATTTTACAAATACCAACACTTTGTTTTTTTCAGGAAACTTTGGAAAGCAGTCAGAGAAAAAGAATGTGAGGACTTTTTGAAGTCTCGTCTATGGAGAGCCTTGTTTGAGTAGCTGCTGGTGACAGCATCTTTCTTTCCATTATCACACAGGAGCTTGAGACTTGGATTTGCATGGTGAAACTTTAAAAAAATCTATTTTACAAAACTCTCTTTAGGACTGAGCCAGGTGGTACAGGCCTGTAATCCCAGAACTCATGAGGGAAAAAATTGGAAGCAGGAGCTCATTACTGGTACTACTGTGAAAAGCCTTTGAATAGGAGGCTGGAAAGGCCCAGCTCCTTTTCCCATCTTCTGGGCTTCTTATTCCCTGGTGTGCCCTCCTATTGACAAAGCCTAAATATGAACCACATATGGGCCCCACACAACAGAAAGAGGACAATGGCTGAGTACTTTGCCTGTGGCTTAAGTGCTGGATGATACTGCAACAGCACTGACAAGGATTGTAGGAAAAAAGAACTGCAAACCGAGAATTCCAAACCCAAGCAAACCATTGTCTGCTTGCAAGAGCAAGGTAAACACTTCTTTTTTGGACATTTAAGGGTTCATGAAGTATACTACTCATACTTTCTTTTGCAAATGAATATGGGAGTACTTGGAAAAAATCAAGAAAAAGCTTGTATAAAGTATGTGAGAAAAAATGGTACATAAAGAAACTGGGGAAATTAGGGGTCAATGTAACTTTTAGCTTTATAAATGTTAAATAGAAATCTTACCAGTTTTTTGATGCTACCCCCCCTCCCTATCTGCACAGCCATGCATGCACACAGCAGCAATCAGGAACTATATGATAAAATGAGTTCACCAATTTCTGGAAAGAAGAAGGGATGGTATCCATTCTAAAAGTACCATGAAAAAGGATAATATAAATATAAAACGTAGAGCTATGCAGAGAAATACAGGGTGAGTTTGATTTACCTAATGTTTATGATATTGTATTAAAAATAGAATTATCCACATTAGAAGATAACAATAAATAAATGTAAAAAAATAACAAACTAGAAATTTTTAGTGCTTACTATGCTCTGAGTGATTTATGTGTATTATTATATAATTCTTTCTATAACCTTCAATGAAGTTATTATAATCTCCTTTATATTCATATTACATGAATGAAATCCAATTTAGAAAAATCAACTTGCCTAAAATTAATATACTAAGTGTTGGAAGAGCTAATGTTTGAGCCCATATTTCTCAAAAGTCATAATCATCATGAATTCTACTCCTCCAGTAGCATGAAATCAGACTATGACAGAGTTCCTAGAGTTCCTAGTTGTGTATCAGATATACATTGTCCCTTTCTTTGCTAACAGATCCCCACTCATTTGTTTAAGAAAATGACATTTAGGCATTCAGTTAGGCACCGAATTAAATCTCTTCTCTAAAGACCAATAAAACAGATCACCATAAAGAAGAGTGATTAAATCCCATTGGTAAATTAAGAAATGAATATATTCTTAAATCAATACAAGAACAAAAATTTAGCTACATGATATTTACACTTAATACACTTAAGAGAAAATAAGACAGAAAGAGTGCAAGAGAGTTGGGCAAAGACATCCCAATCAAGTGTGCATAAAATGAAAGTCAATTTTACAAGTTAATGTTGTATTCTAAAATATTTCAGTAGAAACAACAATACCAAATGCCAGAAAATAATCATTTCCTATTGGTAAAGGTACTAACAATCAAGAGGGTGTATTAGGTTGCTTTAAGCAGCAGTTGATATTGTATAGGAATATATTATCAAAGTCTCTTGGTAATGCAAGATAGCCAATAAAAATAAAAATCATAAATGAAGATTTTTGACATGTCTCCTTCAATCATTTAGCTAATAAGTAAGGTTATGAAAAATACATATAACATATGATACATAGTATTGCTTATGTATCAGTCAATACATATTCTTTCAAAATCCATTAAATACTAGTAAACATTGATTATATAGTAGGTAATACAACATTTCTCATAAATTCCTCAAAGTAGATTGTAAAAGCAATGTCAATCTTGGACCATAAATTTCTTTCTACCAAAATAGAAGGGATAGCTATACAATCTAAGTTCCTCTTCAGGAAAATTAAAGTATACAACATTTCTCCAAATAAATCATGGATCAAAGAAGAAATCAAAATGAAAATTTAAAATAATAAAAATGAGAGCCTTATATGGCAAAGTCTATGTGATATGGCCAAAGAAGTACTCTGAGGAAAAGCTTTTATAAATCAAACACCACTTAAGAAGCTGGAAAACTTCGGGCAACTGTGAAGGCTCTTTTTATGGTGGAGTCTTCAGGAAGGCGGTGGTATGAAGTGTTGAATTTATGCAATGCTGTCCTACATCTTCTGAGCTAAGTCTGGTGACATCTAGGCATGGTCCTGAACACAAGGATTCCCCAGAGGTATTATAGCAAATCCCTGACAAAGCTGACTGAAGATAAAGTGAGGAGGGATCTCAAAATGACCACTCAGCCAGGCCACTCTCAATGATGAAATCAAGCCCTGTGTTTGAAGATCCATTGATCAGTAAATTCACTAATAGGAGGATAAAAGAGGAAACGAAGTCCTGGCTAGATCCCTCAGGACACAGGCAACAGAAACTCTGATAAACAGGCAGTGTGAGAAGTACCATGTTACTTCTGCTGAGGAACCAGCAGTCAGAGAATATATGTCTACATCACCTCCCACCAAGTGCTGAAAAACTTTGCATGAGTACCAGCCTGTGATGACTGTGGTACCCATCCTCAAGGGTACCACTTCCCTTCAAGGGAAGTCACTACCAGGTTCTTGTGTCCCTGGTTGACCAGCTGTTTCCTGGCCTTGAAGTGGATGATCATTGAGCATGTGGAGAAGTTTGCCCGAATGCTAATGGCAGACAAGATGAGCTTGAAACTTTCCACCAATAAGGTCTGTGATCAAGAGAAGACACTGAGTGCACGAGATGGCCAAACAAGGTGCAATTCTCCATTAGTGATGGTAGAGGGAGGAGAGAGACTCCAGGAGGCACCCATGACTCTGTGTGCCAAGACACAATGTACAATGTGCCTGTGCTTCAAGGATGTTCCTTTTATAAAATTTTTCTTTATTTTTCCTTCCTTCCTTCTTTCTTTTCTTTCTTCTCTATCTTTCTTTCTTTCTCTCTCTCTCCTCTTTCTCTCTCTCTTTTCTTCCTTCCTCCTTCCCTCTCTCCTTTCTTCTTCCTTCCTTC